GATGAACTTCCAATTAAATGACATAAATGATTGAAATTTGTGCACAAGTGACAAAATGTATTGAAAAAAAGATTATTTATTAAAACATTTGAAACTTGTTCGAATAAATATGCAAAAGAAGACAAGTGCAAAAATTATTTACTAAAGTTATATAAAATGGTAAACACCCGCCATCTCCATCTCAAGCGTATATATATATAATAACTGTTCAATATGGTCCTATCTGGGAAATATTTTGGCAATGGCTCTGATAAGCACATTTGCAAAATGCGGGAACGAATGCACGTTATTAGCTAAAATATTTTAATATTTTCGTTGTTTTTAAAGTTTTTCTTTTTTTTGTAGCTTACAACACCACTTGTGGTGTAAGAGTGTATTAAGTTTGCTCGAATTTGTACAACGCCCAGAAGGACTCCACCTTTTATAAAAACGATTGATTTCGAATCACTTTCTGAAAGAATCTAAGCTTGTCGGCCCGTCCGCCCTCTGATGTGTGTCAATCTACAGGTGGCAATTTTTGAGATAAACACCGAACTGGTTTGGCTCAAGGACATACGCTAGTGAAGATAGTTCGGATCGAATCACTTTTCCGAGACCCATATAAAGCCTTATTTTGCAAACTAGCTTTTTGACGCAAAGTGACGGTGATGGCGAAGAAATAGCGAACCATGGCTAACTATAATATTTGTATTTTTTTTTTATTTTTTAACAAACGAAACTTCAATTCTAGCGAATGTATGTAAAGCAAATTGTTCACTGGTGTTTGGTGATTAAATAAAACAAACACGACAATGAAGATGTCGTTAATGTGAATTATGATAAGAGCGGCGATGATGTGATGTCTTTTTATATTTTAAATGATTTAAATCATAATTCTCACAAAAATTGCGTAGACAACTGCACACAGACAAATTGAGATAAGAAATATTTAGCAGACATTAGGTGATGAGTGAGTTGATGACATTTGATAGCTGCAAAGTTTTCATGCCGTAAGAAAATTTTAAGATAAAACATTAGAATACCGAGACGAACGCTTGCATTACAAGGTCTTTTATTCAAACAAATAATTTTGACAGTTTTTTTTCCAAAACTGTTTTTATTTCCAAAAAATGCGACGATATTGATCTTTTCTTACATATTGATACATGTTTATGTTTACGGAGAGTTAAGTTATTATGGTAGTCACGCGACATTTTCATAGCCATCACCGAGAGATTAGGGGTATGATCATTTCAAAACGTTTTCAAACCCCAGAAGTAAGCATTAGAAACCCAACAAAATATACATATCCTTGATCAGCATCAAATTTTAAATCGATTTAAACATGTCCGCCTGACTGTCTGTGTAATGAATGTTATAAACATGCTTCTGACCACAAAAATGAAGCTATCGGCATCGATTTGGCAAAAACATTGGAAACATTTTTTCAATTTTTGTGCAAAGTCAATGCTGCCTGTCATAATTTATCACTGTTGTGCTCTACTATCATTCTAGTTGTTATAACTCGCAATTATTATTTATCATCTTTTTCGTTACTCTGCATTCATTATTGATTAAAACCGGCCTCAAGTAAATGTAAAATACGGAACAGAAAAATCTCCAAAAACGTTTATTTGCCTTATGCCGTTAATTGAGATCATTTAGAAATAAGCAAACGCTGAAACATGCATATATGCATAAACATATTTATATTAACTTTATTTATTATCTTCAGTTAACGTCGTGCAACAATTTATCGCATCGAAGTTTGTTTTGTTTATTTATTTTATTTACCGTCAGTTTAAACGATAAAAAGAAATATTTATAATGAAATTAAGCTCATTTGAAACGAAATTGACGGTCATTACTTTCATCATAGAAATGATGCCTACCACATTACCGCATAGATTCACTTGGAAATGAATTCAGAACAAAGAGGCTTTTGTTCACTTCCTAGCAGCTGCTCTTCCTTTAAAAAGAGATAAAAAAAATTTACTTAGTTTTTCCTTTATTCCTTTTCACGCTTTTCAATTGTCAGCTTATTTATATATTTCTTTCCTCGGACAGCCGCGAGGGAAATCTAAAAACGAACAGTTGCTTACTTTGAGGAAAAACTATTCAAGCATTTAAAGAAACACCACATTAAAATGCTAATTGGATTATTCGTTGTGTTCGTTGATGAATACAGAGCATTTTAAGCCAAATAGATACATTAAAGAAGTTTAAAGCTAGAGAAGATAATAAGTAGTTTCTATACTTTGCACGACTTGCTGTACAAGGTTGTAGTAACTTTGTCCAGAAGGACTTGAAATGAACCCACCTTTTATAATACCGATCGATCTAATCAATCTAAGCTTGGCTATCCGTCTGTCCATCCGTTTTCTTTAACCTGTAGGCCGCAATCATCTCGATATTTCGTTGAGAGTTGGTACAATGAACAGTTTCCACCCAAGGATGAACGTTGTTAAAAATGTTCAAATCGGACCACTTTTTCCCGATCTCATAAATGATTAGGAATTGACATGTATCGCATTAAGGGGTTGTTTGCTTTCGTAATATTACGGATTGAGTTATCCTGCATTCGTAAATTATTTGCAGTTGCTATGAAATCGTGGTTCACGGTGTCATGATGACACTTTTCGGAGCGACTTCTAGCCCCCTTTCCATGAAACCCTCTCTTCACTATTCGGACAATCCATTTTAATTACATGGTTAAAAATTTTTATGAATATGCACAAATTACCTGACTTTTGACCGTTTAAATTGACATTTTCAAACTGTGATTGCAGTTTTGGCCCCTCTACGCGCGCTTATTGCATTTATCAAAATTCAGTGATAAGCGCCGTTTCAATCATGAAGATGTGAATCCTCACCTTTCCTTTCTGGGACTAGGTAAACTATGATCATCGAAGTCTGCTTTAATACGACTATTGCGTGTACTCAGATTTCATTCAACTTAAAAATCTCGTTTTTTGTGAAAATCGTGTTAAGAAAAACAAAGAATTAAAACAAATCAAATTAAGTTATGCCGCGTTACATGGAAATTATCGGCTTATTTTATGGAGACTTAGCGTTATAAGAAATTTAGAATAATTAATGAATGAATTCGTACCGTTTTACGTAGAATCACGGAAATAAGTAATAATGCACCACTCAATAAATCTCCGCTCTGACACGTGTATGGTATATAATATCTGGATATTATTTGCTTTCAATCGATACGGGTCAAAACTTCATTACATTTTAACCATTGGTTTACAAATTACAGTTGTTGTAGTGATGCTATTTTTTTGATCACTCTGGCCGGCTTTTGCCCATCGGCTGACTACTGATTTGACTGGAGCGTGGAGTAACGATGACCCTAAATCTCATCTATTGCCACATACCGCATCAAACATCTTTTTTTTTCGCTTAAGCCAAGGCAAGTACAAATCGTCGACAGGCTGTGTCAGCACTCATGAAACGAGATACCAATTTTAAAGAGAGCTTTCTGTTGTGCAATATGGAAAATCATACAAAATAGTAAATACATTGCCGTCTCAGATTAATGTTAAAAAATATAGTAAAGACAACCTTTTTAAAAAAAAATTAAAAGCACATACGACCAAATTTATCCTAGAACTAAAAGGAATTAATACAAAATTTTCTAAAAACTACTTCAGGATTTAAAAACTACTTCTATGTGGTTAGTGGCAAGTAAAAATTTGCGTTGGTATAGCAAGATTTCTCAACACTTAAGATGTCAGCTTTCTCAAGTACGTTCACTTTACGGCATTTTAAAACTATTTTTAAAGCGTTCAACACCATCGACGTGCATTGTTTAAAATTAGCCCACAAATTGATTTTTTCGACAAACAAGAGCCGTCATAATATCTTTCAAGCCAAGGCGGATTGTTAACAGAAGTTTTCTCATCGAAAAGAAATCTTTAATCGACATACAAAATTCCGAATTACACACTATTTTGAAAATTACGATAGCCGTGTCGCTAGAACAATTGTAACTTGTAAACCAATGATCACAATGCAATGAACTTATGGCGCGTATCGTTTGAAGAGCTTGATACTATCCATAAATCATATGGATCTCTCAAGAAAAGTCAAACAAGCTTGGGAAAATGAAAGAACTGAAAAGTGCACGTTAAACGATAGGGTTTATCTTTATTTCTACTATCTGGGAATGCAATGCAGAAAATGTTATACGCAAGTAACCGTGAAGAGTGTTTTCAGAAAATGTACAGAAGGGAAAGCAGGTTATTATACCAATCGCCGAAGGCCAAGCGGTATATTGATTTTGTCAACACGTTTGCAACACCCAGAAAGAAGCGTCAGAGAGCCAACAAAGCATATATATTCTTGGTCAGCATCAAATTCTGAATCGATTTACCATGTAAATGGGCCAAGTCGCCCGGAAAAAACGCCTACACTCGTAAAGTGAGAATACCTCTGGTTTTCAAAAGGAATAAAAAAATTGGTTTTTTGCTCATTACTTGGAATTTGGGAATTTGGAATGCACCTAAGATTGTCCGTCCGTTCGTCTGGCCAACGGCGTAGTATCTGTGGTAAACATTCCGCTTTTCGCAAAAATGGAAATGACGCCTCTATATTTTCAAAAGAGTTTGGAAGTGACTTAAACTTTTCAAAGGATACGCCTACAAGGCTCGCGCAACCATGCGACAAAAACTTTTATTTTGAATATAAAAAATTGGGTCACCATATTATGTTATAGAGCAAGAAAATTTAGTTCTTTCACTTTTTTTGTCTTTTTGAGATATAGATGATGAGTATAAAAGATTCGGTCCCGACCGAATGTAATTTTCTTATTTGTTTTACTTTTTACTGGCAAAATACAACACGTACACCATATATATTTCCATTGCCAACTTTCAGATTTTCTACTCGAACCTACTTGACTTAGAAGTAAATATTACTAAGAGCAAAGCTAAAAATATCTTAAAAATATTCTTATCTAAATCTTTTATTTAACCTTCGTCTTTGTCTTTCATGGTTTTTATTTCTCTTAGATACGAACGCCTTTTATATCGCGCTCAAGTTGAGGATCTTAATGAAGTTTCTGGTATTGGTTGCCTATATCAAAGCGGTGTTGATCGTCTAGGTAGACCGGTTGTTGTATTTTGTGGCAAATGGTTCCCTGCCAATAATATCAACTTGGAAAAGGTATGAGAAAAATTCATTAAAAATCGATTTATTTACTTAAGAATATAATTTCATCGAAATTTATTCTTGCAGGCCTTATTATATTTAATAAAATTATTGGATCCTATCGTTAAAGGAGACTATGTTATCGCCTATTTCCATACACTAACTAGCGCCAATAATTATCCATCATTACATTGGCTGCGTGAAGTGTACAGTGTGTTGCCTTATAAGTAAGTGAAAAACGGATTTTTTAATTATTGCTATAAATGGAAAAAATGTTTTCCTTAATCTTTCCATTTTAATAGATATAAAAAGAATCTTAAAGCTTTTTACATTGTACATCCAACGTTTTGGACTAAGGTTAGTTAATAAACTACAAACGACTGAATTTTTGATATTCATCGACAAATGGATTTTGTTTTTTTTAAGATGATGACCTGGTGGTTTACAACCTTCATGGCGCCAGCCATTAAAGCTAAAGTGCATTCTTTGCCAGGTGTTGAACATTTATATTCAGCTATAACGAAGGATCAATTAGAAATTCCTGCTTATATTACCGAATATGATATGGCCGTAAGTATTTAATGAGGTTAATTGAAAAGGTCGCGAATCAATACTTTTAGAAAAGCAAGCGGTTTACGTTTTGTATAAAAGTATCGGAAACAATTAGAAATAAATTTAGCAACCTCAAAAACATGGCCAATGGAGGTGTGAGATGTCCCACCATATGCTATGCGAATGTGAAGCTATCTGCGGAATAAGACAAGTGTTTGGTCAGCGTTTCAAACATGGCATTGTGCTCTGAACCACGGAAAGTGGCTGGATTCATAAAAATCCTAAAAATGTAGGGCTAGGAGCACGGACGAGTACAATAGATCTTCTCGGTCGCGGTACGGACTGCCTACGCAATGAATAATACTAATTATAAGTAAGCCAATTCAACATTCTTAATATATAGTTTATGCCTTCAACCGGTGCATACCGCCAAACTGTTTCAAGTAGACAACATTTAGATTTTCGTGCAAAACTGAAGCAGACACAGCTACTTTTGCCATCACAGATGATTTTTCGTTTCATCACAATGATACCGAACAACGCAAAGCGGATTATTAAGTTTAGAAATATGCAGAACAAGCAAAGATAACCAGGAAGGTCATCAAATTTAAAACACGTAGGTTCTTTGAAAGTTTCCAGAATTTGAGGAATGTATTAGTGCCTGCACTGAAAAGCCCGCGCAGTTATTGTTTCACAATAGTGAGTAAGACAATGTGAATGTTCCTGCGAAAATAAAAAACTTAAGTAAAACGCTATCATAAAATGATGTCTGAGAACTCTCAAAAACCATAAACAATAACAAAAACATCGAAGTATCAGACGATCGGTGAATTAAATTTATGGCGAAGGCACAAGCTGTCAACGTGTCCAAAGGATAGGTTTACACAAGAGAAAGCTGACGACATGTTTGATGCCGCGTGTGGTCACATTGCACGAAAAATATCGCGTCACAAGCGATAGCGGGAGGGATACGATAGAAATATTTTTAATAAATTATTCTATGTATTTTATGTGTTTGACTCAAATTTAGCAACAAATTTGATGGATTGAGGCCATTAAAAGGCATCATCAACATTGTTTTAAGTAATGCTCGTCAGTAGTTTACAATTGGCGAATCCAATTCATTAAGTTTCAATAAGAAGACTGTTAAGCGCTGAGAGATGAGAGCTTGCAAGATTGTAGATAAAAAATAGCAGATCGTAATATTGGAAAATTGTCCAGGGCTCTTCTTAGATTTATCAGTTATTTGCCTATTTTCATATTTCAAACACTATAAGATCGCAAAACTCCGAGTTTTCAATTGATTTCCCTTGTTTCCGTATTTTCGAAAAGTGTTCCAAATGTTTCCCTTTTTTTATTTTTGTTTCCCCCTTTTTTTCTAATACTTGGGCGCAGATTTACAGGCCATGGCCATCACTCCCCTATTTTTTTCAGACAGCAGTAATGTAACAAATTTTTTAAATATATGGTTTAATTTCATTTTCAACTCTATGCGCAAATTTTGAAAAATTATATCTGTCAGATGCTTTTCACTAAAGGGACGAGCGGAATAGCTCTTAGAAGAAATTTAGTGTTGCAGTGTCGCAACAGGTCTTGATTGCGAAAGTCATTACATAAAGAAATAGAAGTTTTTTTTAAATTTAATTATAACTTCCATTCGACGAACTTTTTAATTAACCGTATTTACTATAAATGAATCCTTATATTTTCTGTTTTCTATTCTTTTGCAGACTAATGGTCTTCACTATTTTACACCAGTGCCACAGGCGACTTGTTCATAGATAAAAACAATTAGACCAGAGGCAGTATAAATCACAAAAACACAACCAAATTTTTAACATTTTGTGGGTCTTTGAGTCTGGCAAACACTCGGAAATTAGCATCCCATCAAGTACTTACACGTATTAAAAAAAAGAAAAAGAGAATTTAAACAAATAAAACAACAACCAAAATACCAATAATGTACCTCTTATCCAAAATAATAATTTGTTAAATTTCATAAAAAATTTATTAAATAATTTTCATCTCAAACATACTAAAGAAGATTTGCTAATATATGCATATATGAAAATGTATGTTTATATAAGCATGCAATTAAGTACGTTTGCATATATATGCATGTATGTTTGTTTATATGCATAAATGTATATCTAACAAAACAATCTTAACTTGTTCGAACTAAAACACGGCTTGATCACATCACCGATTATAAATAATTTAAAACAGAACAAATGAATAAAAATATTAGTCTAGTTCGACCAACTACCTACTCTCACTTAAAGAATGTTATTTTAAAGAAAATATTCAAAAAGTTTCCCAATCTCTTTCAAACATTTTTGGACGACTCCATAAAATCTTTAAAAATCTTTCATCATTAATTAAATTATTCCTGAATATCTTTTTTTCCGTATGATCAAAATAAACAACCAACTAAATAAAGAAAATGTACCTAAACCATGTGCAAACCGAATATTGTTGCTAATAATAAGAAAGATTTACAATTTTTTTTCTTTTTAGCGCTTATAATTGTGTCGTAGTTAATTAATTAAAAAATCATAACATCTATTAAAATGAAAATTAAAAAAAAAAAAAATTTAAACGAGCCAAACACAACAGCAACATTTGCTAAATTAATTAAGCGTATTATTAAGTGAACCTCAGCATGAATAATTCATCATTTGTTGTTAATAAAAAAATGTACACTTGTTTTTTATTTGATCGATGCACAGAGAACGGGCGCCATTAACGCGCAAGACACCCCATTACTTTAAGAGATGAAAAAGGATCTCATTTTTATTTGATGGCATGTTAGGGAGAATTTTACTATGTTTTATATCTTCACGATGTTTCAACTTTTCCAAATCAAATGTGACCACATTATCGACGGAATCATGTGTTCTTCCTCGAATGTGTTCTATTTTATTTTATTTTATTTATTCCACTTACACTAGAAACTCAACTAAACAAATAACAGTCGAGTTCAATTGGCTCTTAATGCAAAACTTATATTAAATAACAATAAAATTGAGTATAAGCATAATAAAACAAATAAGAAGAAAAAAAAAGAAAAAGAAAAAAGAAAAAAAAAGCATGTACACTTTCAGCATAGGAGCACACTTACAACCGGTACAGGACCAAATTGCAAATCAATCCCTAAGCCATCGCAAACATGCATAAGCCTGGCAACCGATAATAAAT